GAAAAGTAACTAAGTAAAACTGGATACAGCCAGTCTTATCTTGTTTTGCTGTTAGAAGTCAGTAAGTAGGACAAAGGTTAGGCTTCGAGTGCTCATTCTTAATAGGTTCATGAATACTAACTTCTCCACCTCCAGGAGGTGCCATTTTCTGAACATGCAATGTATGTAGAAGGAGGAAAAACATGCCAAAGGGATAATATGTAATAGGCGTACAGGAAAGTTATATACTCCAGACTCCTCAACCAATGAGGAAACAGAGGAGGGACTCTGCCAGGATTAGAGATAAACAGGAACTCTTGCTTCTCCGTGGGTCTATTCCATAGGACACTCACTTTTGCAATTCATAATAAACTGGGCTTTTAACTTCATCCCTCCTGAGTCCAACTGAGTTATTTCTCACAGGTGGAGTAGACAAAATGCTGAAATTAGAATCAGGAAGACCTGGGTTCCAATCTTACCTTGCATATTTAATAGCCTTGTGACCCTGGACAAATTTAACTTCTGTCAGCCTCAGTTTCCTTATCTACAAAATGGCAATAATAATAGTACCTACTTCAAAAGGTGGCTGTGAGGATCAAGTGAAATAAAATAAGTAAAGTGCTTTGCAAACCTTAAAGGACTATATAAATTCTACCTATTATTATTATCATCATTCTCTTCACTTTTTAGTTTCCACTGTCTCACATTCTTGGTTTTTTGGGCAGCTTCCTTCCCTCTTTCAGCTGTCTTTTCAAAAGCAGAGATGGCATTAAAAATCATTCATTCACTCACATTAGCTTTGACTATGAACTTTAAAATGCATTTGATTTTTTTAAAATGCTCACCTGTTCACAGCAAAGTTTAGTAATGCGAACATAGCTGCTGCCAATTAAATCTGCCTCAGAGATGGAATTCTCCATTGTGCATGATCCTAAAGGCCAGCAAAAACAAATACAAATTCCAAATCAGTAAACTGAATACAAATTCTTAAAGAGAATCTTATCTTTTGTCACAATCAAAAGGATAGTAGAGACAACCATTGGCTCTTATAGAGTACCTGAGCTGGATGGAAGGGCGTATAATGGAAAAAATATTGGCTCTGGAGGCAGAAGACCCAAGCTCAATTCTCAGCTCTGGATTTCCAGTTAAATGGAAATACGAAAAGTTGTAGAGCAGCCCAGATTTCCCATAAAAACTCCAGTTAAGATCAAAAGAGTACCAGCTTATAATTACTACTAAAAGAAATGCAAATCAAAATAACCTTCATCCTAATATTCAGCAAATTGGCAAGGATGACAAAAGACAGGAACAGTCAATGTTGGAGGGATTGCAGAAAGTCAGGAATACTAAAGCATCGTTGGTGGCACTGTGAATGGGTACAACTATTCTAGACAGTTATTTGAAATTATTTGAAGAAAGTGATAACAAAAAAAGTTCATATCCTTTAATCCAGAGACTTCACTAGTAGGCATATACCCCAACAAAGCAAAATACAGAAAGAAATTACAGGAATGTAATGAAATATTACTTTACTGTAAGAAAAGATGAAAGTGAAAATACAAAGAAGCATACAATGAGTCATGAACTGGTGCAATGAGAAGTAAGCAGAGCAAGGAAAACAATACATATAATGACTACAACAACACAAATGCAAAGATTAATAACAATAAGACACCTGAAACTCAGTAATAAGAAATTGTAAAAAGCAAGTTTGGCCCACAAAAGAAATGAAAACTCCCCCTATTCCTTTGTAGAAGTCCACAGGTGTAAAATATTGCACATAGGGTCAGCTTTTTTGTGTGTTAATCAGTTTTACTGAACTTTTTTTCTTCCTCTTTCTTTTTTTCTTAAGTACTGTTATAACAGTGGCTCTCTGGAGGAGAGAGTGGGAGGAATACAGTAAGAAATCAAGGTGATATAAAAACAAGAGATGGCAATGATAATACATTTTTAAAAGAGTAACAGATCAAGTAAAGATTAAGAAATTCAAACAGAGTTTGACTGCCCAGTGCAAGAGTGTAGGAGGGGATGGGACCTGGCCCTGGTACAAAATCCCAAATTAAGATCTGAGGCTACACTAAGTAAACAGAAGACACTAAACACTATGAAGAAATATAATCTCTGAAGAGATGTTGAAGAGGTAAACTCAGAAGAGAGTACACAGGTATAAGCAGAAACCTAAAAACAAAAAAAAAAGCTTGCACACAAGGACTACAAGAATATAATAATTAAGAGATTAAAAAAAATGAAATAAGCACTCTGGAGACAAAAAATAGAAAGAGAACAAGCTTAGAATTGAAGGTGGAAAACCATATCAGGAAGGGGGCAATAAGAACTTCATGAATTCAGGAAACAAAAAGAAAATTAGAACAAAATCAAAAGGTTGAAAAAAAGGTAAGGTATCTTTTACCTAACATTTGTAATGTCAGTCAGTCAATAAGCATTAAGTTCCTACTATGTGCCAAAAGATAGTCCTTGCCCACACTGAGCTCACAATCTAATGGGAGACAACAAGCAAACAAATATGTACAGACAAGCTATATATAGGATAAACAGGAAATAATTAACAGGGGAAATGCACTAGAATCAAGAGAGATTAGGAAAGGCTACAATATAAGAAAATGTAAAGTATATCAACCTCTTTCTAACCTTATTCTATTTTTATTCTTCTTCTCTTTCTAACCTTATTCTATTTTTATTCTTCTTCTCTTTCTAACCTTATTCTTATCACTCCCCTCAATGAACTCTACAATCAAACAGCCAACAAGTATTTATTAAGCACTTATTATGTGCCAGGAACCACGGTAAGCACTGGGGATACAAAGAAAGGCAAAAAATAAGCTTTAGCCTTAAAAGCTGTACATTCTAATGGAGGAGATAACACTGTAAATAACTAGGCACATACAAAATATATACTGAATAGATGAAGTTAATCTGAAAGGGGAAGGCTTCAGCTTGGGAGCTGGGAGGGGAGAGGGGGAAAAAGCCAGCTATACTGGTCTACTGGCTACATCTCACAATCAACGTATGTCCTTTCTCAGGGGCTTTGTACAGGTTATCTCCCACAAGAGGATGAAAAGTACTCATCCTCTTGAATCCCAGGTTTCCTCCCCAGTGCAAGGGCCACCTTCTTTAAAAGAATTTAAGTGCTAGGACTTTCCTCATTCCCTTCTAAGGCTACCTTTTGTCTCTTTTTTTTAATCTGTTCTTTAAATGTAAAAAAAGTATATGTTGTTGTTGCCTATTAGGTGTAAGTTCTTTGAGGGCAAGAATTGTCTCACTCTCTGTGTATCTCTAGCACCTAGCACAGGCACCTTTAAAAAATGCTTACTACTTAACTGAGGTTTCTTCCACTCATGTCATACACCAATATTCCATCAAAGCATGCAGCTGACCTAAGATTCTAAAAGGCCATGACAGTAAAGAGCTATCTCTATTAGATGCTGCAAAGATGAAAAAGCAGAAAAGAATGGGCCTATTTATCTTCCAAAGTGTCAGCCTATCAAATTCTGAGTGGCTCAACATCAGGTTGCCAGGGAAAGTAACTAATCTTTTTTTTTTTTTTGGCTATAGCTTCTCTTAGTCATCCTACTAGTTAGAGAAGACAAGATTATCCAGAATGACAAAATCACAGATCCTTGAAATACTGGGGTTCGGAGCTTGCAGAAGCTTTCTATGTCATCTACTGGTTTAACCATGGCTAAGAATCCACACATTGTTCTCTTATTAATCTGGACTTTTCTTTCCTTCAATTCAAAAAGTACAATATTTACTGATCACCTACTACACATGGGTCACTGGGGGTTCTGTTTGTTTAGATTTGTGAATTAATGAACGTAGGGAACTTAACCCTGTGGAAAATTCCTTCACTGAAGAACAGTAATTGGTTCGTAACCTGAAGTCATAGAGGACTTGAATAACATTGAGAAATTAAAGGACTTATTCATGCCTATATAGCTAGTGTGTTATAGAAGCAAGATCTGAACCCTCTCCATTAAGATGTCTAGGGATAAGGCTAAAAATATTAAGCCCCAAGGGATAAAAAGGGAAAAAAAACCCCAAAACCAACAGTTTCCACCCCCATCTGACTTCCCAGTTATTAACACTGACATGCTTTTAAAAGCACAAGTTTCTGATCACAAGTTAAATGAACAGGCCCTAATCTGTATCCTTAGCCCTCTATCCCATTTTCATCACATCCATCTGATTTCGCACGTCATACTTACATATTATTATATACAACCAGACAATTCTCCCACCTCAACCTCTTTCTTAATCCCCACCTGGGGGAAGGGGAAAATCGTTCGCAATAAGCAGAGGAGGATCGGGAAGGAGATGAAGAGGGGTAAGGAGCCCAGGAAGGAAATGGATGCCTGTCTTGAAGGTTTTCTTTCCTGTCAGGCATTATTAGTCCAGCAGACAGACTGGCCTGAGCACAACGGCCTCTCCCACAATAACAAGTGGCAGAGGAAATTTGCATTTGCACACACAAATGGGGGTGCACGGATGACTGGCATGATGATGGAACACGCAGGTAGCAAGAACGGCACACAAAGACATACAGGAGGGGAAGGGGGAAGGAGCAAAGGGGAGAGATACGCAGGGCACATACGTGCAGGCAGGAGGGGCACCTATCCACACACGAAGGGTGTGTGCAAAAACACACCAAGGAGACAACCCTCGCTGCGGGAAGGCCACAAGCAGGCAGAGTCGCTTGCACTTGCACTTGCGCATACATACACACACACACATCCATCCATAGAGACACAAAGACACACACACACACGTACACACACTCACCGGATCCTCCACGGGCGAGCTTTAATCCGCGTCCGGATTCAGAAGCAGGTCTCAGACCGCAGGCAGCCGTCAGCACCACGTCACTGAAATCCAGAGCACGGGAGGGGGAGCAGCCCAGAGAGGAAGGAGCCCGGCGGTCACGTGGGAAGCGCGCAGGCGCGCCTCGTCCCGCCCCGACGCCCGCTCTTCCTTCTCCCCCCTCCCTGCCCGCCCCCTCTGCCGCAATCCGCCCCGCCCCAGAGTCCGGGCGCGTCCAGCAGACCAGCTTTAGGTGGAGAGACCCCCCCCCCCGCCCGTCCTTCTCGGGTGGCACCTTCGCACACAGGTCCGGCCTAGAGCTTCTGAAGCTGGCACGAAGGAAAACTGGTGCGTCACGCTGTTAATGGCTGTAAATAGCAGAGAAAAGGTGCCCTGTTCTGTTATAACCTCGGCCTCCTCCCCTCCTCCGCAGCAGCACCCCCCAGATGAGACAGCTCAGCCTTGGAGCAAGCTTCCCACCGCCCCACCTCCCAGCCCCAGCCCTTGGAGGAAAGCAGGGTCCTGGGGAGCAAACAAAATTTCCCCCCGGCCCCCCGTGTCCTGGGGGTGCCCGGCCCCAGCTGGGAGCGGTGCCCGGATCTCTGCACTATGCGCGGTGGGAGCGATGGGGAGACAGTGGGTGGGGTCCGAGAGAGGCCCTAAGGAGCCCAAGAGCCAAGTTCCTAGTGGAGTTCTGAGTGAGATGAATGGCCAGTGACCAGCTGTCTTCTGCTTGCTTCCCTCAGGTTATCAAAAGCTAAGGAGACTATGGTGGAAAACTCCCCGTCCCCTTTGCCAGAAAGAGCGATCTATGGCTTCGTTCTTTTCTTAAGCTCCCAGTGCGGTTTCAGTGAGTATGATTGCTGATTGCATAAGGAGATGTAGCATTAGTTCTTTCAACTTGTGGGTCCAAACTCTGATTGAAAGCTTTTCTTTATAATACTGTGAGGTATACAACCTGCTTTACCTTGTTTTTCAAAATATGTTTTGTGGTGCATAGAAAGGACGTTGAATATGAAGTTAGAGAACCGCGATTTAAATCCTACCTTGGTTATTACTTGTATGAGCTTAAGCCACTTAGCCTCTCTGGGCCTCAGTTTACATCTGTAAAATGAGGGCATTGGACTAGAAGATGGTCCCCAAAAATCCCTTCCCAGCACTGATCTTCGACCCAAGTAGAGTGGATCCTTCCTCAGTTTTACCTGGGTCACAATTTTTCTCTCCCCAACTCCTGCCTTCATACCAGGGGACTTCAACATATGTACTGACTGCCCCTCAAGTATGTAATAACTCAATTCCTCAAGCTATATACTTCCCACAAGCTACTCCATCACCTTACCTCAGCCACAAACAAAGATGGTGATACCCTTGATCTTGCCATCACCCACAAATGTATCTCTAAAAATTCTTTAAATTCTCATGTGACCATAATCTATTGGCTCTTCATATCTCCCCCTGCTTTTCCTTACAAAACCTTCCAAACTGTGATCTCCAGTCCCTAGATGCCTCATTTGTCTCCCAAACCATCTCCCCTACACTAGCCACTCTCTCCTCTTCTCCTTATCTTGACTCCTTGGTGAACCAGTTCAACACTACACTGTCCTCTTCTCTTGAATCCCTACCCCATTTAGCATATCACTGATTACTCCCAGCCAAGCCTCAGCCTGGGATCACTCCTATCATTCCCTGCCTTTGCTGCTACACAAGGGCTGCTCAACAAAGATGGAGAAAATTGGGCAACCATTCTGATTACGTCCCCTAGAAGTTTGTTACACAATCTCAGTTGGGTCTTACTGCTGCTAGCCAGTCCTTCTGTGCCTACCTTATGAACTCGGTATCCCACTTTCCAGAGCAGCTCTTCTAAACCTTTTCATGTCTTCTCAAGCTTCCCGTAGTTCCCCCTCCCTCCACCTTCTCAGATGAGAGTCTTGTCTCATTTTCAGATAAATTGAAGCCATTTGCTATGAGCTCCATATTTTCCCCTCTTCATTTCATATCACTCATATGCATTCTGGCATTATCTTTTCCTTTACTCCTGCCTCACATGAACAAATGACCTTACTCTTTAGCAAAGCTAACTGCTCTGTTTACTCAAGTGGTCTCTTACTTCTTATCTCCACCAATAGATTCCTTCTTCTGTCATCTTCACTGTGTCACTTATTTTCAATTTCTCCTTATCTACTGAGCCATTCTATACTACCTATAAGCACACGTGTTTCTGTCCCATCCTGAAAAACCCTTACTTGATTCTTTCATCCTCTTCTGCCCTTTGTAGCCTGCTGGTGAGTCAGCCTGCCTCAAGTCTCTCCCCAGACCATCCTCCATTCAGCCATCAAAGTGATTTTCCTAAAGCACAGGTCTAACATGTCACTCCCTCCCCACTCCATAAACTCTGTTATCACCTCAGAGATCAAATACAAAATCCTATTTGTCTCTCAAAGCCCTTTGTAACCTTCCCCCTCTCCTTCTTCCTGTTCTCCTACACCTTACTCCCAGCCACATACTCTTCCATCCCGTAACAGTAGGCTTTTGGCTGTTCCTCAAACAAGACACTCCATCTCTTTGCTCCAGGCATTTTCTCTGGTTGTCTCTCATACCTGGAATGCTCTCCCTCCTCATCTTCTCCTGCTGGCTTCCTTTAAGTCCCACCTAAAATAAAACCTCTCTTAATTCTAGTGCCTTCTTCTCTTAATTATTTCCTATTTATCCTGTAAATAACTTGTACATATTTGCTAGTTTGTTGTCTCCCTTTAGATTGTCAACTCCTTGAGGTCCGAGACTGTCTTTTGCCTCTCTTTGTATCCCCAGTTTTTAGCATAGTGCCTGACATATACTAGGTGCTTAATAAATGTTTGTTGATTGATTGCACCGAAGGTTCTCTGTTGTGCACAGCTAACTCAGCTTACCTCAAGAGCAAGGATCCTATACTAACTCTGAAGGGATAAGGCCAGCTTAACCTTCTATCTCGAATGTGCATTGATGAGGCGGGAGACAAGATGGAAGCAACTCCGTTTAATTTTAACAAAGCATTCACTTAAGTAGAAAAGTAACAGGAACTTCTTCTCAAGTTACAATGACGTAGAGCTCATGCTGTGCTGAGGACAGTGCATGCACATCCTGTGCACTTATCTGACTCCAATCACAGATAAACTGCTAATGACCATACAGTAACTAAGGGAGTTAAAGATTGTTAAAGATCCATATCATGGAGCACCGAACCAGGCGACCTTTGCTCATAGATCAGCACCGGAGAGCATCAGTGAGACCTCATGAACAGCCTGTGGCCCTCTACATCCTTACAGATCCCCAACAGTTTTCCACATGCTTAATGGAAAATCAGGCTGGCAGCAAGATGTAGAAGTTGTCTTGTGCTGGTGCAGATAGCAGCCTTCCCTCAGGGGACATGAAGAGCAGAAGATGGCATGGGGCCAGAGGAAGTTCTGGATCCTCTTCTCACCTGAGGCTATAGATCAGACTGTTGTAGCAGGAAGTTGGGAGTCTCTTGGTGAAGGGAGATGTCACTTTGGGACAGATGGGAGTCACATTGTCTGACCTCTTGCTGCCTCCCCTCAGGAGAAATGCCCAGCTGGAGATGGAAGGCCTTCCCAACATACTATGGTGGTTTCCTTAGGAAAGCCCTCTTCTGTGGCTGAAAAGCTAGATTCTAGTATCACATTAGCGTAAGGGTAAGGAAAACATATTAGGAAAGGCTGACAGTCCTTTCCCTGTCCCCATTTACTTTTCTCTAAAGATAATCCTATAACTCTTAACTTCTCTACCACCAAAGTTACATTCTTTTCTGTGGTGCACATAGCCTGTATTTGGTGATGTCTTCCATTCTTATAACAGAAGGAATATCTGTCTGTCTTCTGATGGTGATGTTTCTTTATCAGTCTAGCTTACATACCTTTCTCTTGTCTCGTTACTTTTCCAGGCAGGACAGATTTGTTCCTGCTTCTGTCTGCCTATAGTTCCTGAGTGTTCTTTCATCTTAATTAGCATAGGGTCTTCACTCATTTAGTCCCATAGTACCATGAATAGGTAAATGTCCTCAAGACGATTGGAGTTGAGTTTTTGTCACATGATACTTTTCTTGGCTCGTCAGCTACATACTCAAACAATTTCACATAATCTTCACCTAATAAATTCATCACAGGACAGTATTAGTTTCAGTATTTTGACAGATTTGATAAATCCTTTTAGGTCAGGCTTAGCCCTTGACCTTGTCCTTTGGCTACTTGGAGCATTCTGATCAAGTCTCTGTCCTCAGGGGATACCACTCTTTTCACTATTAGTCTAGATAAGTGGTTGTTCACCTGGATAAGAATCGGAATGGCAATTCTTTTCCTCTTTGCTGTTGCCAGCAAATTCAGTCAGTGCTTCTGCTACCGTTTGTCCAGGAGTATAGAATAATTCAAATTTATGTGTACATTCACACATGAGTTCAGGGTTTATACAATCATTATCTCTCACAACTGTTCCCTTCTCTCTACTAATGTGGCCACCACTCCAGTTCAAGTCCTTGGGTATTGCAATAGCATCTTTTCCCTCTACACAGCTGCCAGATTGATTTTACAAAAGTAGTTTGGCCATCCCACTCTTCTACTCAGTGAACTTTAATGACACCTCTACTGCCTCTAAGGAATAAATTGCATCTGTTTAATTTTTAAAGTCCTTCACAACCTGACCCCAGCCTTACCTTTCCATGCTTATTATACATTCCTTCCCTTCTGTTTTGTACATTTTAGCCAAGGTGGTCTTCTTTTTGCTTCCCCCTGATGCTCTATCTCCTTCTTTACACCTTTGCACCCACTGTCCTCTAGGCCCTGAATGCTCTTCTACTATAGCCTCTTAGGAGCTTTTGTTTCCTTCAAAACTCTGCCCAAGAGACACTTTCTAAATGAGCCCTTTCCTGCTAGTTTCTTCCTCCACAAAATATTTACCTGGATTTATTGTTTATATATTTTATGTAGATATTGTCTTCCCCAGAAGAATGTAAGCTCCTCAAAGTCAGGGACTGTGTCAGTTTTGTCTTTTTTTCTCTTTTATCAGAGCACTGCTTGGCTCATGGTAGAAGCTTAATTAATGTTTTTGATTGATTGACTATGTGTGACTTAACCTCTCGGTATCCTAGGCAACTCTATAATAGATTATCAATTACAGATAAATTGTTGGCCTGCATCAGTGGAAGGAGTTCCCAAAGGGAAGTTTGCTTTGCATCACAGGTCCTAACCAATAAAATATATGGAAGTTGCCCACAGGCAGGTGAATAGTGAAACATATAAGGAACGTATGCCTGTGGAGAAGCTCAGTTTCCACGAACAGGAACAATAACACCTATTTCAAAGTTGTCTAAATGCTAATCAAGGGATCTTAAAGGGAAATCAATGCTTTACCATTGGTATTGAACCAGCTGACAGTTTCACTGTATGATAAAACTATTTAAGCCCTATCTAAAGTTGTTAATTGGCTCTGCAAAAAAATAAAGTTGGAAAAAACATTACAGTGGACAGTTAGAAATATTATATATAAGTGATTAGTAAAATTGTGATTGTTGCCTGTGTTAGGGCAGCCTTCTCAAATATTCAATGTGTTTTTCATCCAATTCAACTAATAGTGATAATATCTAAATATTTTTAAACTATACATTTGTAGTAGAAAAATATATTCTGGATAAACTTTACACCACAACTGAGAATAGAAGGGGATCCAGAAGACAATGCCAGTACCTTAGCAGCATAAAGAAATTCAAAAAATCTTAACTAATTTCCAGAATTGTTACTGCCATAAACATTTTATTTGGTTCATTCAGTGACTTCTGAAAAATTATACTAGTTGTGTTTTCTATGTTTATTAAATAGAATAAATTTCCTTATTTTCCTGTTTAGACCAAATATAAGTTATTTCAGGTGCTAGACTTATGTTCATATATCTCGTTGTACTAAATTCAAATCTTTCCAGTGCTGTTTTACAGATTTTGCTGGTCTTTTGTCCCCTCTCGTCACTAGAAGGCTGAACACTAGGTGATTGGTTCATCACCTAGTGGTTCGACAAGAAATAGATACGTATTTAGAAAATGGATACTCAGGCAGAGAAGGATTTTAATTTAAACTGTTGTTGTTTAGTAGTTTAGTCGTGTCTGACTCTTCATTACCCCATTTGGGGTTTTCTTGGCAAAGATACTGGAGTGGTTTGCCATTTCCTTCTCCAGCTCATTTTACAGATGACGAAACTGAGGCAAACAGGGTTAAGTGACTCACCCAGGGTCACACATCTAGTAAATGTCTAAGGCTGGATATGAACTCATGAAAATGAGTCTTCCTACCTCCTGGCCGGGCGTTCTATCACTGTACCGCCTAGCTGTCCCTGGGTGAATGGAATGCTCATACCTTATGTTTTTCAAAGTTTTGAACTATTTTTCTTCCTATGGCTGGTATAGAATTAGACTCAGAAGCTTTCTGGAACCTCAAGTCACTTTCTGCAATTCTTCATCATCATTCATTCATGCAGAATCACTTATTGGTTGTTCACAGTGTACTAGGTTATGAACCCCATCATAAACTCTTAATTTAGGTCAAATTTCTCAATGAAAAAACTCCTCCATGGGCATGATGTCAAAATTTAGATTCTTTTCCTTACTGCAACAGATGTCTACCTTTTGCAAGTGAGAGATACAACAAAAATGTTTGTTTCCATAAAATTGAAACAAAGCTAGAAAAGTAAGTAAAAAAGGGATACAGCAGGTCTTATCTTGTTTTGCTTTTTGAAGTCAGTAAGTAGGACAAAGGTTAAGCTTTAATTAGAGTGCGCATTCTTAATAGGCTCATGAATACTAACTTCTCCACCTCCAGGAGGGGCTAAGACACCATTTTCTGAACATGGAACGTATGAAGAAAGATGAAGGACATGTCAAGAGGTAGATGTGTAATAGGTGTGCAGGAAAGTTATATACTGCAGAGTACTCAGCCAATGAGGAAACAGGAGGGACTTTGTGGCCGGAATTAGAGATAAATAGTGAACTCCTGCTTTGGTACAGTGTGTCTGCATAATAAACTGGGCTTTTAACTTCATCCTTTCTGAGTCTGAATGAGTTATTTCTCACAAGTCCCTGTGGGTTTTACCAAGATGGGTAATGTTAGAGTCCCGGGAGGTAATAGACTAATGGAGGAAAATACATAGGTATAAATAACTATAATTCAAGACTTTTTGATGAAAGTACCAAGATGACAGGGGTCCACCCAATAGAAAGTCTTCCTCCTTTCCTGTAAAGGAAATTCAGAAGATGGAAAGATTATTTTTAGCTGTCATGATAAAAGAAGGCTTCCTGGTTAAGGTCTCGAGCAAGACTTTAATGAATAGAGAGAATGTGTCCTTTATTTATATTTTAAATATTTTTTTTCTTTTGTACAGTACTCTATCTTGTATGGGCATTTATTCCTGAGACTTGGTTAAACTCCATAGGACTAACATATTGGCCTCAAAAGTAAGTTGAAAAATATACCCTTAGTAAAATTAAAGTTCATTTTACTGTCGTTGTAGAAGGTTATGTATTTTCTTTAAAAATTCAAACACTGGCTGTTTCTTTTTAATGCCTCTCTAGTAACAGTAAATACTAGTAAAGCATGAAAATTTTACCCAGATGACTTCAGAGCCAGGGGTCTTTTGGTGGCTTTTGGGACTTTGAACATTGTAACTTTTAAAAATATGTATTATTTACTTTAATACTCTGTTCTACAGGTACTGGGCAGTTGCTTTACCAGTCTACCTCCTTATTACTTTAGTAATTACTTACATATTGATATTTGGAATTAACATGGTGAATACTTCTCCACTGGACTCTATTCATACAGTTACAGGTAAATTTATATAATGATTGGATCAGATCAAAAACTGAAAAATATTAATATAACAAGGCACTTCGACTGTACAATATGTAAGAGCCCTGGACTTGGAGTCAGGGAGACCTGAGTTCAAATCCCTCCTCAAATGCTTACTAGCTGTGTGACTCTAAACAAGTCTTTTAACCTCATTCAGCCTCAGTTTCTTCATCTGTAAAATGGAAATAATAATAGCACCTACCTCATAAGGTTGTTGTGAGGATCAAATGAGATAATATATATGCAGTACTTTGCAAATCTTAAATCAGTATGTAAATGGTGGCAATTATTATTATAGCTTGACTTCAATATAAGCTACTATATTATTGAAGATGATTGATTTCATATATTGACATTAGTACAGTCATATTTTTATAATTTTGCTCTAATAATGATAATTATACCCATCTTATATTTTAATAGCTTTATATAGTTTATGATGTGATTTCTCATCATTATTTCATGTGATTTTGAATAATAACTCTGTGGAGCAAATAGGGCACAATTTATTATCCCTCTTTTCTAGATGAGGAAGCTGAGGCTAAAAGATATTAAATTATTAGCATAGAATTTCAGATTTGCCCTCCTTAGTGGGCATTTAGTCTAATCTGGGGTGGGGAACCAGCAGCCTTGAGGCCACATGTAGCCTTCTAGGTTCTTGAGTGAGGCCTTTTGACGGAGTCCAAGTTTTACAGAAAAAATCCTTTGATTAAGGAGATTTGTTCTGTGAAGTTTGGATTCAGTCAGAGGGCCACACTTGAGGACCTAGAGGGCCATATGTGGCCTTGATGCCAAAGGTTTCCCACCCTGGGTATAACCCATACCTCAACAAGAATCCCCACTACAAAATACCCAAGTAGTCATTCAGCCAAGAATTTCAATAGAGATCTTACTGGTTCTGGAGGCAGCCCTTTCTGCTTTAATTATTTGTAAGTTTTTCTTAAGATCAAGCCTAAATTAGGTCTTTTGCAACTTCAGTTCATTGTTCCTATCCCTGCCTTCTGGGGAGTAATCTCTTTTCAGAATAGTCCTTTAGTTATTATAGTGGTGAATCTCAAACCCAGGCCTATTGACTCTAATTCCAGTGGTCTTTCCACTTATACCACACTAAATCTAAAAAAACCACTTTCACCCACATTTAGGAATTTGGTTTGCTGCTTTTGTTTGGAGAGTATTGATTAATTATCATTCTTTCTCATGAGAATATGTCTTGGTTGTTGTTTAGTCATTTCCAGTCATGTCTGACCCTTCATGGTCCTATTTGGGGTTTTCTCAGCAAAGATACTGCAGTGGTTTGCCTTTTCCAGCTCATTTTACAAATGAGGAAACTGAGGCAAACAGGGTTAAGTGACTTGCCCAGGGTCACACAGCTGTGGTCTATGAGGCCAGATTTGAACTTAAGGAAATGAGTTTTCTGACTTCAGGCCAGGCACTCTATCTCTTGTGCCACCTAGATACCCTATGAGAATATATTCCTTTTTTAAATAAGAAGGGTTTTTTTAAGATGAATTTTAGTCATAAAATATCTTCCATGACAACCTCCCAGAGCATGTTCCTTGTGCTCCCATAATTTTAATGGCTATCAGACAAAATTGGTTTTAAAGATTTTCATAAATAATAGTAACAAAATCATAATTTGGGGGCCATTAACTTCAGTAAGTATAGCACTTAGATGCAGTTCTGCTCTTGTGAGAAATGTGCTTTTCATGAGGGAAAAGCTGACTTAAAAAAAATCATTCCTAAACTTCCAGCAAGATGTTAATTTTTTCATGCAAACTAGACATGGGAGAATTAATGTGTGTTTTTACTGTCTTTTAAATTTTTGTTTTTATGTTTTTATTTGTTTAAAGAGAATTTTTGTTACTAAACATTAAATACAATATTTGTTATCATCTTAATGACTTGCAATGAGATAAATTGTTTTCCTTTTGCCTATGTTGTTGGTCGTGATTAGTGTCAGAGGCTATGATCTAGATCACTGATTCTCAACCTTTTCAAAGTATAAGAACTCCTTTTAATTTCAGAAAACATTTTCAGATCACTTTATGATGGGAATTGTAATACTAACATATATTAGTTGGAAAAATACATAATGACAAAGAGGCTACTATAATTTGGTAACACTTCTAAATTTGTATTTTATTATAATAGCTTCTACATACATTTGAAAAATAGAAATGGACATATCTACATGATATTTATCTAATCTACATAAGTTACATTTACTTATTTATTTGTTCCTGTAACATTTCATATCTTATAGGTGCAAAATGAAGACCAAAATGACAATGCTTGGTGCCCACGTTCATTGTTGGACTTTTTCCAATAACTCTGCAGTCCTCTAGAGCTGTCTAGCTCACAGATACTGATTGATTGAACAAGATCATTAGATTTAAACAGTGTTTCCATTTTTTTTCCAGATAACTATGCCAAAAATCAGCCACAGAAGAAATCTCAAGAAAAAGCTATTCCAGCCCTAAAGGACATACCTATTAGTGAAGTAAACCAAATGTTCTTTATTGCTGCCAGAGGACTTTACACTAAAAGCTGAATTATACAGAGAACATCTCAATCCCAAACATTCATTTAAGAATTTTTTTGAATAGGATTATTTTGACTGTGACCTTCTATTTCCCTCAGATACCTTGTATTAATTGAGAAGGGGAACAGATGCAAGTTGAATGGATAGAGACCTGACCTTGGAGCCAGGAAAACCTTGATTTACTGAGATTCTAGTTGAATGACCCTGGGCAAATCACTTAACTTCTCAGTGCTCTGTTTAACTCTCAAAAACTCTGTGCCACAGAGAAGGTATAAAGAAGTTTCATCTTCTGGGGGTACCCTGTGTCAATTTAATAATGAGTCCAGTCCCTAAACCTAACTATTAGATTTTTCTGGGAAGGTATTCCAAATGTTTTGAAGAATGGATGAAATAAAATACTCTGTCATATGTACCAGCAAAGAAGCTCTAATTAACCTAATTAATATTTAATTAAAGCTGTACTTAAAGAACAAGAGTTGGCTCCTTTCTCATTTGCTATTAGTGGGCTAAGTATTCATACTACTTGCCACAGAAAAGATAACATCTGATTAAATCCAACAAATAATTACAAAGTGCCTAGTATATGCAAGACACTGTGCTAGATTCTGAGAATATGAAGATAAAAAAGCTGCCCTCAAGGAGCTTACATCCTATTGAGAGGACATACATATACATATATACATATAAATGTAATTAATATCTGAAAAGGAAGAGGGTGTTAACAAATTAGGGGGAAGGATTAGAAATGTTTCCCATAGGAGGTAACCTACCTGTAAGAAGCTAAGAATTTTAAGGTAAGGGAGTACATCTCTGGCATGGGGGCAACTTGTACAAAGGTATGGTGGGCGATAAGAGCTAGAATTCTGAGTATAGTAAACAAGTAGTAAGACTGCATGATTGAATAAAAAAACAAAACCACAAGAAGGGGAATAATATGAAATAAGTATGTAGGGTAGAGGGCTTTAAATGCCAGGCTAAGGAGTTTGTATTCCTCACAGTCATAGGGAGCCACCTAAGGTCCTTGAGCAGGGAAATAACAGACCTGTGCCTTAGGAAGATAAATGTGGCTTGTAAGTGGAGGCTATGTTGCAGGAGGAAGAGACTGGCAGCCAAGAGTACTTTTAGGAAGCTCTTAAATTGGTACAAATGAGAGATGATGAGAGCCTGAATTAAGTTACTGGTGAGTTGGGGGAAAGAGAAAGATGTAAGAGATGTGTGGTGGTAAGATCTAGGACTAGGAAACTAGACTAAGAACCTGATTGGATGTAGCAACTCAAGATGATTCTGAAATTGAGAACTCAGGTAAGTGAATTATTGGTGACACTCAAAAACAGGAAAGTTAGGCAGAAGGGTGGGATTAGGGATAAAAACTCCATTTGATGCTTGTCTTTATTCTCAACTTAAAGCAAACCCTAATCTTTTCTCTCCAAATAATTTTCTTCTGTCTGGAAATGCCTATGTATTCCATATTCTTCTTTCCAAAATAGCATGTCAAAGTCACCCTTCCTTAATAGGCGGTTAAGAAGTTGGAACCTATCTAGCTTTGTTCCTCACTTTCCCATCTCCCCATTATATAAAAATCTTACCTTGCTTTAGGAGGCAAAGGTCAGGGTACAAAAAAAGAGTATAAATTCTGTATGTTTATGTATGGGCCTAGATGGATATATTTGTGGTTTAAGACAAAATCATTTTTGTAAAATAGATTGGAATAGATGAAATTGAATGCTGAAGAAGTAAGAAATTTGGCAAATAGTGAAAATGTAAAACCTTTGTTGGAAAAAAAATAGTTAAGAACCTAGATATGAGGGGCAGCAAGGTACTGCAGTGGATAAAGCATCAGGAGTCAGGAGGACCTGAGTTCAAATCCAGCCTCAGATGCTTGAAGCTTAACTAGCTGTGTGACCCTGAGCAAGTCACTTAACCCTAATTGTTTCCCCTCCTCCCCAAAAAAAGAACCTAGATCTATAACTAGTAATCTGGTACTTTCCTTGAGTACAATGCATATTCTACAGATAAACTAGTTTGCTCCTTTTGTTTTGTACTAATTTCAACCAATAATAGTTCTATTTTACTTAAATCCAATTCAGTTCTTCCAGGACGTGATTCAGTAACCAGCAGAGAGTTCAGGTTCGTATCAGATTTGTACTTCTTTGAGGACTCCTGAGTGTCCTTGAGGAAAAAGAACAGAATCTTTAGGAACCTAGCCACGTAACTAGTAATCTGTTATATTTCTTGAGCATAATACATTTTCTACAGATCAGCTAGTTTCCTCATCATTTGGTTAGTACTGCTCTCAGTCAATCAAAAGGATGGCTGTTTCACACTAAGACAATGAACTCTTTAAACTAAGATGGAAGATAATTAAATCCAATATAGTTCTACAATAACTGATCCAGTAGTTGGTGAAAAGATCCAGTTCATATTTGATAGTAGGCAGCTGGAGGAACCCTGAAAATCCTTCAAGAAATAAAATAGAACTTTTATGATAGTAACTGTATAGCTGGCAATCTGGTACAGTATTTGAGAATACTGAATGTTCTACAAACTAGTTTTCTTCCTTTTGGTTTGTTCTTTCAGTTAATAGGACAGTCCTAATTCATACTGAAGCAATGAAATCTCTTAGAAAGCAAGATAAAGTCCTTCCATGATATTGATCCAGTGGAGATATTGATCCAGTAGACAAGGGAGAGTTCAGGTAACATGTTCAGGTGCCCTTGTATCTATAGGAGGACTCCTGAAAAGCCTTAAGGAAAAACACAATATAATCCCTAGGAACCAGATATGTAGCTAGTAATCTGGTATCTTTTTTGATCAAAATATACAGTGGATAGGCTACCAGCCTTACTTCCACTTGTTTTGGGTTACTCTTAATATCACCATTTAATTTGTTTTGTTTCCCATTGGTAGGATAACATCGCATCCAAAGTAAGGATATACTTTAGACAGCAAGATAAGTCTGATACTGTTTTTCCATCACATTGAACCATTAGCCAGTGAGCTGTTCCAGTTCCTTTTAAACTGTTAACCTAGTAGAAGAATACTAAAATTCCTTAAGGAAAAAATGACAGACTGTTTAGGAATCAAATATAGAACTAATAACCCATTCATTTCCTTGAGTACAGTATGTGGTCTACAAACCTTTTATATACAAACCTTCAATAGAATAGCTCCATTTCCAATCTAATACAAATCATTCAACTAAGACATTTTAAAAATTCAATACAGTTCTAGGACATTGACAAAATAGCAAATGGAAAATTTAGGTTCATATTAGGTTTATGCCTATTAGAAGAATATTGAAAACCATGAAAGAAAAAATAAAATCATTATCTACCATATTCCACTGATGTAATACAATATGTCAGTAAACATTCAGTGCCTATTATGTGCCAGGCAATGTGCTAAATACTTATAATACAAGAAAAGGCAAAAGAGAGTTCCTTGCCTTCAAAGAGCTCATAATCTGTTGTGGGAAAACTATGCAAATAACTATGTAATAACAAGCTATGTACAGGACAAATAGGAAATAATCAACAGAGGGAAGGCACTTCCTATAGAAGGTGGGATTTTAGCAGGGACTTGAAGGAAGCCAGGAGGTGGAGATGAAGAGAAAGAACATTCCAGGCATGGGGAACAGTCAGTGAAAATGCCTGGTTTGAAAAATAGAGTGTCTTCTTCAAGGGACTACAAGGAAGCCAAGGTCACTAGATGGAAGAGTGGAGGTGAAAAGGGGTATGTGAAAAGTGTAAGAAAGCAAAAGTTGGGGTTAGGATAGGTTATTAAAGGCTTTGAAAGTCAAGCAGGAATTTGATCCTGGAGGTGATAAGGAGCCACTGGAGTTTGCTGAGCAGGGAAGGGGTAAGAGAGTGGAGTGTGATATGGTCAGACCTGCACTTTAAGAAAACAACTCTGCAACTGAATGGAGGATGGACCAGAGTGGGGATAGACATGTGGCAGGCAGAACAATCAGCAGGTTATTGCAGTGGTCCAGGTGTGAGAAGATGAAGGCCTACACCAGGGTGGTAGCAATAGCAGAGGAGGAGGAAACACTTAATATGAAAGATATTAAGAAGGTAAAATTGACAGGCTTTGACAACAGATTGAATATGGAACTGAGAGAGAGTCAGACATTGAGGAGGACACTTATGTTGTGAGCCTGGGGCACTTGGAGGATGGTGGTGCCTTTGACAGGAAAAGGAAAGTTTGGAAGGGAGAGGGTTTGGGAAGAAAGATAACTCCAGTTTTTAGACATGTTGAGTTTAAGATGTGTCTTGGACGTCTGATTTGAGATTTCTGATAAGGCTGTTGGAGATGAGAGACTAGAGGTCAGCAGAAAGGTTAGGGCTGGATAAGTAGATCTGGAATCATCAGCAAAGAGATGCTGATTGAATCCGCAGGAGCTGAAGAGATCACCAAGTCAAATAGTTTAGAGGCCCAGGCATGACCTGGGTGAAAATCCAGCAAAGGAGACTGGGAAAAAATAGATAGGTAGGAGGAGAACCAGGAGAGATTAGTGTTCTGAAAACCAAGAGAAAAGAGAGTATCAAGGAGAAAAGAATGATCAGCAGTGTCACAATCTGAAGAGAAGTCAAGAAGGATGAGGATTGAGTTAAGGCTATTAGATTTGACAATCAGATAATTAGTTAATTCACACAAAGCATTTCAATTGAATGAGATTAGAAGCCAGATAGAGTTTAGAAGAAACTGAGAGGAGAGGGTGGAGGCACCTTCTTAAGGCCTTTTCAAGGAGTTAATCCACAGTAGGAAGGAAAGAAATGAGGCAATTGTTAGATTGGATGGATGGATCAAATGAGGGATTTTTGAGGATGTGAGAGTTATGGGCATGTTTGTAGGTAGTAGAGAAGCCCCTAGGGAATAGGGAAAAGATTGAAGGTGAGTTAGTGGAGATCTTAGAGAGGGGAATCTGATGGAAAAAACTATTATCCATCACCATAAGTACACCATCTCAAAAAATAAAAAAAATCAAATTTAAAAAATTTAATTTAATTTAAAAAAATAAAAAAAAATAAGTACACCATCTCCATGTTCGTCAACCTGTGCCTGTATTAAGGATTGGCCTTGACAAGAAGTACCACCTCAGCACGTGAGACAGGAGTGAAGGATGAGATAATGGCAGAAGGCATCAGGGTGATGGAAAACGAAGTGGAGAGAAGATAAAAGCTCTTGGCAAATGGTCACAGATTTTTTCTGTAAAATATGAGGCAAGGTTCTCAGCTGAGAGTGGCAGAAGGGGAGCCATGAGGTGTGAGATGATGAAAAAGTTTGAAAGAATCAATGTAGTGAGTGAGATAATGAGTTAATGAGGGAGGGGTAAAAGGCTTGGTGAGCAGCAGTGAGGGCCCAGTTAATGTTATTTACTTAACCTAAATTTGTAGCGGATCTGATCAGGATAGTTGCATTATTTTCTCTACCTTCATTCAGCTGCACATGTGTAGGATCAATGGCAGCAAATGG